AGTCATAGCTAGCACAGATGATGGAGAAGTGTAGGGATATCTGGGGCAATTAACGGCAGTTCAGTTCATTGTTTACTGTGCCACAAAGCATATCAGACTCATATTGCAGTATCTTATATCAGAGTTTGTTAATCAGCTACTAAAAATTTGTGTCAATTATGAGTGAAAAATGTTAAGATCTGCTGGCAGGAGCTACTTACTTTTTTCAGTTTTATTTGCTTTTAACTGAATATTTTGGGGTTTGAAGGGGTCAGACAAAATGAGCAAATTGAAGATAGAGCTGTCGACTCCTAATTTTGTTGTGCAGTTTCACAATTTTCTGATATTTGACACCAAACAATTAATTAACCACATAAGGAAATACTTAGGTAATCATAAAAAACTATTAGTTACAGCTTTATACCAAATTGATGTTAATTGTTAAAAAAAAAAGAAGAAAAAAGTAAGAATATGTTTCAGTAACTAAAACATTCAGACAAAGTGTTTAAGAATGTACAAAGAAATGTAATAAAAACAAACAAAAAAGCTTACAGACAATTTGCTGTCCTCACTCAGAGTGACAGGGACACTGCATTCAGGATTTAATTGTTTATTCTTTGGTGTTCATACACAACCCTGGATGTACATGCAGAACCATAGGAATGTACACACAAATGCACATGCTCACACACACATGTACACACTCAGTCACACACAGGTGCAGTGTTATCAGAGGTCTTGCAGGCTCTGCAGGTCATTGTGACTTTCCGCTTAGCTGGATGGGGTCGATTTTGTTGTGTGTGTGTTTTGTGTGTAGGAGTGTGTGATTGGCTGGCTGAGATGTAAAATCGGGATTTAACATCCTGACTAGAGCATAAGAGACTCGGTCCATCTGTATATAGTATGTCTAAATCCCTGTCTCTCATGTCCATATGTGTTGTCTCTGTGTAATTGGTAGGAATAAAGTGGATCCTATACTTTAGTACACTCAGCCTCATGCTGACCGCCACAGAGAGAAGCCTCTGAACTCAGCAGTGAGCACTAAGAATAGAAATCTTACAACTTAGACTCAGGTTTGAATAGATTAGCTTGTATCCTCTGTTCCGCCTTCCATGGTGTGACCAGATTACCGCCAGTTGCTGCCCCAAAAGGGGGGTTTTCTCCAGAGGTGGCAACCCACCGCCATTCACTCCCTGCATCACATTATCATTGCATTCCAGGAGCATTTTTTTTTCTCCTCCCTTTAAAAAAAAAAAAAAAAAAATCAGGACTCGTACTGATTGTCTTCGAACTGATTGACTGACTGACGGGAGGAGATAGGAAGAGCCTCTGGGAATTACACTGCGTGCAAGTCCTCGCTGGGCGCGGGGTTAGGGCTTCGGTCTGAGTCTTTGTGAACCAGCAGACACAAAGGGGGCAGGAATCACATCTGGTTATTTGGAGGATCCCCTCCTCCTCCTCCTCCTCGTGCTCCATAGCCTCCCTAACTGCACACCTCCACCTTAAACAGTCTCCGAAGAAAGCCCGATCCTCTCGCTCCTGTTCACAAGCAAGAGCAAACATTATTGTTAAACTCTTAATACACAGCTCATGAGAACAAGAAGATTAATGATCAGGTGTGGAGTTCATTTATTGTATTCTGTCTGAGAGTACGTTCACCTTATAGCCATTTCATCTCACTAATTCACAACAGTCTAATTAATCCTCCCTGTTAACCTAATATGTACATTCTGGCAACACACACACACACACACACACACACACACACACACACACTCACACACACACACCACAAGGGTCTGTTTGTTTTGGTATGAGCCCAGTAGTCTTGTGTTGTGTTGTGAGGCTGTTCTCTATGATAAAGCATGCAGAGTTGGTCCCCTGTGGGTCCAGTAACATATGCAAACCTCTCCCCATTGCTGCAATAACATATGCAAAACAGTGCTGCTGGCCCCGGCCCCCATGCTCCCACCACCCGTTACTGTTCCGATCCCACCCCCTCTCCTCTTACACACACACGCACACACACCCAAGCCTGTTTGCTTCTCGGATTTTGTTTGATAACTGTGTGTGTGTGTGTGTGTGTGTGTGCGCGTGTGCGTGCGTGTGCGTGCGCGTGTGCGAGTGTGTGTGTGTTCCTTCAGATTGTAGTCTGTAACAGTCTGAGCTTTGTGTTGGCCGAAGGATTATCACAGCTTTGCCACCAGCAGCTAAGGCAAGGAGCAGAGGAGAGCGGGGCTTACAGAGACACGGTGTATGTGTTGGGACGACTGTGGGAAAAACACATTTGTGCGACGGAGAGAGAGAGCGCTCATGTGTCTGTGTGTGCATGCATGAGAGGCCACGGATGACTGGTTGTCTGTGTCCACACAGCGAAGCCCGTAGGACCTTCTCAAACACCCTCCTGCACACAAACACAAACACACACACACACACCCTCAACCAAAGCATCAGTCCTCCGCACTTCTTCTTTTTGTTCCGACTGGTAGTATGTGTTTTAGGAGCTCCAGAAGTCCCTCATGTTGTATCAGCGGAATCTCTCTTGCTGCATCTGCATTGAGAAGACTGATAGTTAGTCACAGATGTTTTTTTTTCTTTTTTTTTCTCTGTTGTTGTTTTGTAATGCAGCCTCACAGTGTCAAGCAAGTTTAAGAGACTGTGTAAGGGCCCATTTTGGGAAAAGCGTACATGTATCCAATCATTTTGTAAAGTGGCCACGTCCTACATACAGTGGTTGTAGTAGATGTCTTCCAAAATACAAATTTATAAATCATTGGCTTCCAAACAAGGGGTTGGGACCCCAACAAGGCATCACAAAATAACTTTTAGAGGTTCTAAGGTTACTAACAGAAGCCATAAAAACACACGATGGAGTCTTCAACTTTCCTATATGTGCCCTTTTGTTTAGTGCATTACTAATTCATTTAGCTCTTCTACCTTCTAAAAAATAGAATGCAGAAATAAGTCACTCTACATTTAAACTGTTAACGAGTATCCAAAAGGCCAGTAACTACTGATTTATGTGACTCTCACGATTTTTGAAAAATATAATACAGTCGTTTCTCAGTTTTAGTCTGAAATTGATGGCAGTGCACAGTTTTGAAGACATGTGACTTTTCCTGAACAAGTGTCATTTTTAATCCAGCATGAAAATTGGAATCAGTTACTTGGGAACAGTGTCAGTATGACCTAATTGAGCCATGCACCACCACTATGAGTGTACCTGAACTGAACACACAACAACTGAGCCAAAACGGAAACTTGCTCATGAGTTGTGGTTTGTAGTCAATATTGTGGAGCATCCTGTGTCAAGGTAGTAGCTCGTTGGAAACTGACTGTGGATGCAATGTATCTCCAAGGTTTTGTAGTCTTAAATTCTTTGCTGTATTTTCCCAATAAAGCATCATCCTAACTGTTAAATTCTTAGAGGAGCTGCATGTTTTCTGCTGGATTGAAAAGAGCTGAGTGGTGTGAAAAAGATTTTCATTCACGCAGAGTTCATTGCAAATGAGTTCTGCTTAAGATGGTCGAGAGTAAACGACTTTTAACAAAGACACTTAACTGTTTTGTACAGCTGACGCTAAACCTGCATTTTACATGTCCAGAATTATGTCTGTTTCACTCCAGTACAAATGAAAACAGTTTTTTGTCCTATTCACTTTCTCTGCACAGTCAGACTTTCTAGAACTCCTCCTGAAAAAGAATGAGGACGACACCAAACTGATGCGATCTCTCAGGGCTTCATACTGTTTAGATGTCCATGATACTTAGTGCGAGATGAGAACAGAGAGTGACAGAGGGATGAAGCTTCATCCACTTAATTAATATGGTATGAGGCAGACAACTCTTCACACGCACACGCATGCAGATGCACACTCACGCCAGGTTTGCACACAACTATCACAGGTTGATGGGAGAATAGGAGGGGATTTCATTTCTGTCTTTTTTTTCTCCCCTCTCTCGTGCTTTCATTCATTCTGTCTGTGTGCTGGATCAGAGTATGTGGAGATAACACAAGCCCAAGGTCAGGGAGGGAGAGACAGAGGGAGACCTACAGCCAATTTACATCGAAGATGAATGGGAAGAGGGGCAGGAAGGGTGGAGGTCGGGGGGCTTGAGACGGGGACTGTGATCTCCTTAGGGTGCGCATGTGTGTTTGTGTGTTAATGTGTGTGTGTGCGTGCTTGCAAGAGGTCTGTGATCTCCTGGCCTTTGTGATGGAGATGGGCCCGGCAGGCCTGACCCGATAATGACGCGACGCTCTAATAGCATTCATCCTTTCTGCCGCAAAACTACTCAAGCGGAAAAGAGAGAGAGAGAGAGAGAGAGGAAGAGAGAGAGAGAGAGAGAGAGAGAGAGAGAGAGAGAGGGGAAAAAACAAGTGTGAGGGGTAGATGTGGGTTTGCATGGGTGTGTACGGAGGAGAGGGGGAAGCTGGAGGGAGAGGAGGCTAGCTAAGCTATGTTTAAGAAATGACGTGGGGCACAAATCATTTGTAATCTCGGAATCAGGGGTTGAGAGAGGAAGGAGGGGGCCTCTTAGATGAGTGTGAAGGTGTGTGAAGCTTTGTGTGTGTGTGTGTGTGTGTGTGTGTGTGTAACATTAGCAGTAAATGCACTCTGCCTGTGTCTCCTCTCTCTCTCTTTATCAGTGTATATTTGCTGTGGGCGCTGGAGCATGGAAGGCTTTCAGAACACTGGCCCATGGGGGACGGGACCCTCTGTCCAACACACACACACATACAGTTACTTATCATACAGGGTCATTACAGGCCTCTAACTATACCTCGGTAATCACTGGTTTATATCTGCACCCATATTCACCGTACAATACACGGCAGTCCGCATCAATGGAGAGCATGGGAATGATGGCAGAGGAGAGGGAGAATGGGAGATAATTGGAAGGTTAAACCACCACTCCATTGTGTCCATCATGTTTGTGTGAAGAAGAAAAAAAATCCGCTTTTGAATTTCTATGAAGCATAATGGTTTTTAGTAACAAGCTCTTCTCTCTGTGCTCAGACTAAAACCGGTCCTCCTGTAAAGCGGCAAGGAGAGGACAATGGTCGATCTCCTGCCTTCTGTTACAACTGCTCCAAGAAAGGACACTTTGGCCATGTAAGTACCTCGATATGTCTTGGCTAACTCCAGTTTTCTGTTGAACTATCTGTCATATTACATGGGTAGGTATTTGCCAGTTTGCATGATTCTGTCTGGTCTGTAGAGCAAATAAAGGCAGGAGAGGCAGCCACAATGTGAACAGTAGCGTTCAAAGTATAGTTATTTAAAAGTTTCTTTAGTTCTGTAAAAGTGATAAGATTGTTTCCTGAAGATGCTGGTAGAGTGCACAACAAATCACCATTTTACATCCAGCTTCTTCAGTTTTACCTATGAAATTCAGCTTCTGGAGCTCTGGTTTTCAGTCAGAATTAACCCTGTGGTTAAAGTATTATTCCATTCATACTGAGCATGAATGTGATTTATGTTTGTTTTTCTCAGGAATGTACACAGCGGAGGATGTTCAATGGAGTTTATCCCAGCATCCCGTTCATTAACCACTATGACACTGTTGAAGACATTAATCGTAGACAACACAGGGTCAAGTTTAAGGTTAAAGGTAAGTCACCCACAAAAGCACATCTATGTGTCAGTTGTTGTTTCTAGCCTCAATAGCACCGTGTATTAGTCTGGGCATCATGGTTTGTTGTGTTTTTGATAAACATTTTGCCTCATGGGCCATAACTCTTACAGTGAGAGTGAATGTACAATAACTAACTAACCCTGTGAATGGGTGCACTGTCTTCCTGAAAGACACTGCATAGTTCTAATTGCCGATGTCACTGTTCCTACTGAAACACTAGCGAGTTGATCTTAATCACTGAAGCTCCTGCCATCTGTGCCCCAACAGTCAATCCTCTTTCTAAACCACTTGGATTTTTTCCTCTTGCCATCTTGATACAAAACCATAGTCAGCTAGACCTACTCAGCAATTTTCTAAATATCACAGAGCATGATTAGATGTTAATTGACCAGTTGTACCTTATTGTGTACCTGCGTTGAAGCACAAGCATTATTTTTTTTCCCCCATTCACTTATTCAGTATTTTTATTTATAAAATAAATGAAGTAATTCAAACAAAAAAGAAACAAAAGGATATTAGTCAGTTTTGTTCTAAGTAACAACTTAAGCACTTTGAGCAAATGCCTAAAGGAGCAGTATGACATTTTCTAAAATATACTCCTTCACTTTCTTGATAAAAGTTAGATGAGGAGATTGATACTAATCCCATATCAATATACTGTGAAGATAGAGTCATGAGATGGTTAGCGTTGCATAGCTTAAGTTAGGTTGACTGAAATCGTACCTATTCTTCAGCCAATCAATTGGTTGTGGAGAGAAAAAACACTATCTGCAGATTAACTCAATCAACCACAGTGCCATGAGTGCACTCTAACCATTGTTAGTCTAATCAAATTATGAATAAACATTTAAAACGAGTATTTTCGGGGGAGCTGTAGGTGGTAGAGTGAGTTGGTCAATGATCGGAAGGTTGGCGGTTTGATTCCGCCCTGTAACCTGTGTCATGGTCGTGTCGCAAGACACTTCACCCACCTTGCCTGGTGTGAATACGTATGAATGGATTGTTTGAGGTGGTGGTCGGAGGGGTGGAATGACAGCCAGGCCTCTTACAGTCTGCCCTAGGGCAGCTGTGGCTACAATCGTAGCTACCACCACTGGGATGGATGTGTGTGGATGAATGATTGACAGTGTAAAGCATCTTTGAGTGTCTAGAAAAGCTATGTAAATCTGATCAATTATTATTGTTATTATCATTATATGGGGCTGCAGAGTGGCGCAGTTGGTAGCACTGTTGCCTCGCAGCAAGAAGGTTGCCGGTTCGCATCCCGGTGGGGGCACTG